ACTTCTGGTAGTTCTTGTTTCCAGATGGATGGAAGAAAAATAAGAGAATATCTTATTGCACCCGTTCTGTTTCATGTCTGATAGGCAACCAGCAAGTGAAGAAGACAGACAGAAATCTTGCTCTGTCCAGTCCATTTCCTTTTTTCTCTAAGAACATCTAAAAAAGATAAATAAAAATGAAAATGGAAAGGTTTATCTTTGAGCAGTTTGACTCATCCTGCCTTTTCTCTGAACTACCTCACCAGTCACTTCTGCAATTATTTCAGTGCTGATTGATGAAATATTTGGGAGATCTTGTATAATTCTCTGCATGCCCTCTATTTTGAGAGAGCAATGGAGACGTGCTGCAACCGCAGTGTTTATCCCCCGGTAATGACAGCATTATCCTGCATTACCACTCTAGGAGGATGTTTGTCAACAGCCAGCTACTGATGAGCACAAGAAAAATATTTACCCAACTTCTGTACTGTGGCTTTACCGCAGCGGTGCTGCTTCAAGAGGACTGTGCTGTGTTTTTCAAAGGCTTGATACAGAAATCAGAACAGTCTTGGCATTTCTGTAGCACCAGTCCTGAAATGACTGCTTTTTAGACAGACTAATTGCAGGATTTTTTAATTTTTATTATTATTATTTTTTTTAAGGGAAAAGAGAGAAAGGAAAAAAAAAAGAAAGAAAGAAAGAAAGAAAGAAAGAAAAGAAAAGTGATATTCCCTGAAAATAGCCAAAGTAAGGAGTTTTCTAATGCTCTCTCAGTGTGCAGAACGCTGTGGATAGCTGTATTTGATGGCTTCCTAATCTTCCCAAGAGTACCCACGTATGCTAATATTTACTCACTCTGCACACAGACAGCATCCAAACGCTGCTGATGCACTCGTGTGTGTATTTAAGCAGAGCTTTTGGCCACGGATGGCTCCTGGAGCCACCTGTATGGAAGAGATCCCCTCTGCCACTGCTGTTTTTGGGGAGGTGTGATGCTCTCTCTCCATTTCTAATGTTATGCAGATGGAAAGGCATGCTCCTCTTTTGGCAACTTTGTCATTTGTTTTTATGCTTACTGAAGGTGTATTGCGTTTTGTGCTCTTATAGTGCCCTAAACCAAAAGTAATGCTTTTTTTTTCCCCACAAGCTACAGTCGATTATTATTTCACTACAGTATCCGAGAGCATGAAATAGAGATTTATGATACCACTGTGTTTTCCACTTCACTTCATGTAGTGCCAGGAAGGTACAGCATCTCTGCCTGCACAATATCCCTTTCTTTTCCCCTTTTCTCTCTTTGAGCAGCGTGCTGTGTGATTAGAGGATAGTGAGAAGGTCACTGACCAAACTTTATCTTCCACCCAGTTTCCCACAGCATGTATTCCTCCTAGGAAACATTTTCTCAGCTCAGGTTATTTCCAGAAATGTTCTCAAACCATCAGAACAGTCCTCGCAGTAAAACATTTCATTCCCACTTTCTATCCTTTATCTAGCGGCGCAGTGCTGACAGCATTTATGTTTCTTCTATTGACTGGGCCAAGAACAACAGGATTAATGAGGTTGTCTCTTCATGAGTGCATTATATTTTTTCCTCTGACCTTTCAAACATGGGAATCTTCTGTTTGCAATATTTCTTAAGGAAGGAAAATCCCACCTCACCGAGGCCCGGCTGGGTGGGAGCCCAGGTTCTGTGTGCCTGGAGCAACGCTCTGTGCACTCCATCCTCTTGTGCTCAGACCATCATACTGCTCAGGAGGTGGGTGGACACAGATCTCTTCTTGTTGTTTTGTTTTGTTTTGCTTTGCATGTGTTCTGGGCAAGCAGGGGAAGGAGGTGTCTCTGGGAGTGCAGCCTTCCCCAGAATGCTCTCGCGCTTTATCATTCCTCTTCCTGATTATTTTTGACACGGAGTAACTGGAACACAATCAAGATAGGATCATTGCTAAGTGCAGCAGGACAGGGGACGTGAAGAATTTTCCCAAGGATGAGAGCACAAGTATCTTTAAACACAACAAATAACTTTGCACATCTGACATCTTTCAGTTAACCTCCTCAAAATATGTCAGTTAGATAAGCTTAACATAATTACATTTTTTGCATAAGTTCATTAAGGGTGACTGATTCCCATTTTTCATCTGGGGATGCAGAGGGGACATAGAGTCAGAAAAATTCCCACTTGCCCCAAAACTGTATGACATAGGCATGCCTCTAAGATATTATTTTTAATCTTGGTGGGGAAAGAAGCACGAAGAACGAATGCATTCACACACTGCATCCTGTGGGGCAATAAAGCCTTTTAAGGAAGTGCAGATACTTTGGTGTCAAAAAAAACACTCGACCTGCTCCATAGTAAATGGCAGAGATATATGCCTGAAATTTTGGGGAGGATGATGGGATGGGGATAAGTAGAAGTGACTGACATAGAGTGTATGGGTATAAACATACAAACTCTGAATATCATTTCATATAAATAAAAAGAAATGGAAACATGAAGGATATGTTGCTGAACACAGTTTCCATAGGTACGTGGCTTTGCTGCACACAAGAAATTATTTTGCCTTGCAGGAAAACCAGATTTACCTGCTGCTTTTAGGTGAAAGCACAGTGCGCAGGGGCTTTTTGCTGGCTGTGCCTGGTGCCAAGCATGGGATTCTGAGCTGGGCTCTGGGCCGTGTTCCAGCAAGGTCAGAACTCATTGTCCAGCTCAGGGTTAAGCAAGCTGGAGAACACTGTATGTGAACTGAAGTCATTCTGGGGCTCTGAGATCTAAATGGGATGAGTGGACATGGCCAAATTCATCCATGTCAGGCCTAGAAGGGAACAGAAACAAAGATTCCTGGCTTCTTGCTGTAGCAATTTAAATAATCCTATGTATTGGCTCTGGAAACAGGACAGGCTGCTTTTATGGCATTTTAAGTTTAAAAAGTCATCAGAGAAGCTCTTCAGAGTAATATTTCGTGAGATTTTGAAATATTTCATGCTGAAAATAATGATTCTTATACAGGAAAGAAGGTAAGCCCCCTGTGAAATGTCCTCAGGCACTGGCAGCCACTGCAAGTACCAGGAGAGCGCTGCCTTGAGGTGCTTGCAATTTCCAAGCATTAAGCATGAGCATATTCCATGCCTTAAATTTGTGTTTCCTGGCTTTCAGAGCTTGGGGTTTGTTGCTTGAACTCTGCTTTCCTCCTTTTAGGATTTCTGTTGTAGCTGAACTTGGATAACCAGAGAGAGTACTTAATATGCCCACATTTGCATTTGTCAGCATTTAGGACTATTAACTGTACACAATTCTGATGAAGAAGTTCCTACATTCTACACTTCTCTTCTAATAACTTACACAGAAGCTTAATTCTGCTGACTTATACCGTTGTTTAACTAGAACAACTCGGTTAAGCTAATGAAACTGCAGTTTGCTTTATGTTCCTTTAAGCAATTGAGCTCCCTGCCATTCACTAGGAAGATACTCTCATAAATCCCCAACTGAAAATAATTTGGGGGCTGTGACCCTCAAGACTTAAAGATTTTCAAATCCTGACTCTTGAGGATTAAAAAAAAACAACTGTATCTATCTGTGAATGGTGAATGCATGTTTGTGTAGTTTCCCTTATTTGCATTTCTTGATAATTAATTAAAAAACATGAGTTTAATTAAACTCGGAGTTAGGGGATTCATTAAAATAAAAACAAAAAGCATTTCAGTTAAAAAATGTAAAATAATTTTTTTCGGTGGAGTCAGCTGATGCAGCTTAAGGATTTGCAGAGAAATAGTGGCGGTGCAAAAAACTTTGGGGATTGTGGTAGCGTGGTTTGGGTAGACACATTTCTTTCAGTGGGCAGCCCATGTGGGGCTGGCTCTTGCACTGAAATAAGCACGTTTGTCCTCAGGTTCTTTCTGGTCTGAGTCCACCGTTGTGAAAATATGACATCTATTCAGGTCCCGGTAAGAGGGTTACAGAGTAAATGAGGATTTTTAAAACAAGAGAAGTTTAAAAATAGTTTTAAAACAAGAGTGAAAAGAGAATGGGTCAATGGGTTTAACAGTTGGATGAGATGATCCTGGTGGTCTTTTCCAACCTTTATGATTCTATGGAAAAAAAAATTGAAAAAGATAAGCCTTAAGGAAAGAGACCTTATTCAAACTGTGTAACTAAATTTTGTGTGTAATCACGTAATTTAATGTAATCACAGAACGACAGAGGTTGGAAGGGACCTTAGGAGACCTTTGAGACCAACATCCCTACAATAGGTTGCACAGTAAGGCATCCAGCCAAGTCTTGAATATCTCCATAGGAGACTCCACAGTCTCTCTGGGCAGCCTGTTCCAGTGCTCCATCTCCTTTACTGTAAATAAGTTCTGCCACATGTTGGTGTGGAACTTCCTATGTTCAAATATTGGAATCATAGAAACATAGCATTTCTCAGGTTGGAACAGACTTTCAAGATCATCAAGTCCAACCACAGAGACCATTAGTGCTTGTCCTATCACTACGCACCACCAAGAAGAGCTGAGCCTGACCTCATCCATTTGCCTCCTACCTTCCTTTAGCTATTTATGGGTTAACAGTAGGAATGGATGATTTCAGTGGTCTTTTCCAACCTTTGTGATTCTATTAAAAAAAAAAAGAGAGAAGCCTTAAGGAAATAGATCTCACACAAAACCTGTAACTAAATTATACTTATCCGTTTTTGTATGGGAACTGCTGAGTCACGGCCTGAACCTCTGATTGATCACCT